CCATTCCTGTTTAAGACACTCAAGAAGATAGGAATAGAAGGAAAATTCCTCAATATTATAGAAGCTATATATGAAAACCCAACAGCCAATGCAGTGGTCAATGGAGAAAAGATGAAAACAATCCCACTGAAAAAGGGGACCAGACAAGGATGCCCTTGTCCCCACTCCTATTTAACATTGTACTGGAGGTCGTAGCTAACAACATAAGACAAAGAAAAGACATCAAAGGTACTCATCAGAGTAGGGAAGAGGTCAAATTATCATTATTCACAGACGATATGATTCTATATATCGAAAATCCCCTAAACTCCACAAATGGAGTGTTGGAAGCAGTAGAGGAATATGGCACAATGGCAGGATAGAAGAATAACAAACAGAATTCTATTGGTCTGCTATATACATCAGGAAAAAACACAGAAGAGACAATTAAAAAGGTAGTACCCTTTACAATAGCCAAGCACAAGTTGGAGTATCTAGGGATATACCTGACTAAAAAAATGAAAAATTTGTAAGAGGAAAATTATAGAACACTACTACAAGAAACCAAGAGTGACCTCAACAAATGCAAGAACACCCATGCTCGTGAATTGGCAGACTCAACATAGTAAAGATGTCAGTTCTGCCTAAGGCATCATATAAATTCAATGCTAGCCTGATAAGAAAACCACCATCCTTCTTCAAAGAATTCAAAAAATTGACTACCAACTTCATATGGAGAGGGAAGAAGCCCAGAATTCGCAGCGAACTCCTCACGAAGAAGGACAAAGTGGGAGGGCTTCCTCTACCTAACTTTAGCAAGTATTATACAGCCACAGTAGTCAAAACAGTGTGGTATCGGTGGGTGTAACAAAAGATATTCAGGCCAATGGAAATAAGCTGAAGACCCAGAAATAAAATCATCAGCATACAGACAACTAATTTTTGATATGGGCCAAAAAAATATCAAATGGGAGAAAAATGAAGCAAGATGCTTACCTCAGTCCATGCACAATAAACTCAAGGTGGATCACAAACCTTGAGGTAAAACTCCAAACAATTAGGGCCATTAATGAGGGAACTGGGACAAACCTGAGAACATTGGCCCAGGGAATACATAGGCTATTGGAAATAGGGAAAGATACAAAGACAGAGGAGTCACATATGTAAATATATTTTTTATGATGATGGGGAAATAGATCTACATGCATATATTTATAGGTTTAGTATTAAGGGAGCAGATGGACAATGGGCCTCCACTCAAGTACTTCTTCAATGCAAGAACACTTTATTCTATTAAATTGGCATTCCATGATGCACACCTTCCTGATATGATCACTGATGACAAATGTGTGTGCAAGCAAATGTGGTGAAGAAAGCTGATGGTGCCCAGCTGTCAAAACATATAGCATCTGGGGTCTTAAAGACTTGAAGGTAAACAAGCGGCCATCTAGCTCAGAAGCAATGAAGCCCACATGGATGAAGCACACCAGCCTGTGTGACCACAAGGTGTCAAAGTATCATGTATCAGATATCAAAGAACAAAAAATCATATCATTGTAATGAGGGGGAGTGCAGATTGGGGATCCAGAGCCCATCTGTAGGTAAAGGGACATCCCCTTACAGAAAGGTCGTGGGAAGGAGATGAACCAGTCATGGTGCAGTATAGCAACAACGAAACATACAACTTTCCTCTAATTCATAAATGCTTCATCCCCACCGTTATCATGATCCCAATTCTACCTTACAAATCTGGCTAGACCAGAAGATGTACACTGGTCCAGATAGGAACCGGAAACACAGGGAATCTAGGACACATAATCCCTTCAGGACAAGTGGCGAGAGTGGCTATACTGGGAGGGTGGAGGGAAGGTAGGGTAGAAAGGGGGAACCGCCTATATGGATCTACATATAGCCTCCTCCCTGGGGGATGGATAACTGAAAAGTGGGCAAAGGGAGGGAGACGTCGGACAGTGTAAGACATGACAAAATAATAATAACTTATAAATTATCAAGGGTTCATGAGGGAGGGGGGAGCGGGGAAGGAGGGAAAAAAATGAGGAGGTGATACCAAAAGCTTAAGTATAAAGCAAACATTTTGAGAATGATGAGGGCAACAAATGTACAAATGTACTTGATATACAATGGATGTATGCATGGATTGTGATAAGAGTTGTATGAGCCCCCAATAAAATGATTAAATAAATAAAAATTAAAAAATAATGTTCAAAAATATGTACTGAAAAACTCGGCTTATACATGAGTATATATGGTCATATCAATATCTAGAGTAATATTGGTAGACTAATGTATCCCTTTTCCCAAAATAGTTCCTTGCCTCTCTGGGGATATTAAAAGCCCAGTATGGGAGCTATATATCACTGAGTCTTTTTTTCGTTTAACGTAATAAGATTATATCTATCATTGTAGCTATTCTTTAAGTTAATAGTGAAGAGGGAGAAAACATCTGATGGTATTCTGAATTTTTTATTCCAAAGGAGCTAGAGCTCCTTCATAGCAGACTAGAACTATATTGAGTAGTAGGACATGGTACAGTGTTAAAGATCATTGGGCTTAGGATCAGATTTAGATTAGACCCCTGACGTGGAAACTTAGAAAAGCTGTATGGCCGTGGGAAAATCACTTTACTATCAGCTGGAGTTATAATACCTATTTATGAGACAAATTCCTACTTTTCCTCAAACGCAGGGTTATAGTACGGATCAGATGAGCCAGTGGGAAAGAACATGCTTTGAAAACTGTAAAGCATCATAAAGAGGAGTTGTTCTAAGCAGCAAAGCTAGTTTCCCTGATAAATGCCTTTAAAAATTGTTTACTTTTCATTTTAAGGGTCAACTCAATTTAAAATGAAAAAGGTACTCCTGAACTGTGCTCTAGAGATTATAAAGAAGCATTTCCCTGAACTGTCACTACCCCATTCTCTATGAGGGCAAGTCAAGGCAGATTTTCTCACTCTTATCTGTCAGGCACTAGTTAGTCTATTGTGAAGAAGAAATGATAGAACAGAAAATTGATAAGGTACTCCCCACTGATATCGCTTGTGAGTAATGGACCATTTCTGGTGATTGTTTCATTTCTAAATATCATCTTTCAAGAGTGAAAATAGTATACCACACCTGGCTGAAATTATGGTGTTTGACTATTGGCTGACTAGGAAAGCCAAAAGCAAAAACTGTGAGCCGCAACCTTGCACATTCAGGTAAACGGTGATTTTAAAACAGTAACCTATGGTGTTGAGGAACAAAAAATGCCTATAGTGTTATACTGAAGACCCAAACCCACTGTCATCGAGTTTATTCTTACTCATAGTAACCTGGTAGAGTTTCTGAGACTGTAAATCTTTATGGGGGCAGATAGCCTCATCTTTCTGTTCAGTGGCTGGTGGGTTTGAACTGGCAACCTTATGGTTAACTGTCTAACGCTTACCAGATAGTGCCACCAGGGTTCCTTTATTGAAGATCAAACTTGGTACTTTCCCTGCTGATTGGATGAAACAGAGTTTCTTCACATCCAGGGTAGGAGCTCAGCACATGGACAAAATACCCAATATATCATAGAAAAATGAGCAAGACATAAGAGGACTTACACTGTGGTAAAGGACCAAAGAAGAGGTGCCGAGATGCACAGCACTGTATTTTGAGGAAATTATATGAGGACATTTCATTTCTGATTATACTCTTGTTTTTATTTGTAAGCCAAAGGTTTTATAATTCTTGATAATTAAAGCTATTAAATATTTTATTGATTAAGCTAGTTGAAAAGAAAATGGAAAGCACCTATTACTATAATTTTCTACACTATATTTTCTAGAGTCTTAGGTATCAAAGAGCCAGGTAGTGTTTTGTTCTGGTGCACATAAGGTTTCTAGGAATTGGAGCCAAATTAACAACACCAAATGACAACATCAAAGAAGACATTACTAAAATGCTCAGCTATTAAGGTCCTCATTGCCTTACCTTCCCCACCCCCACACCTCCAGCTTACCTGTATCTTAGTGACAAGAGTTATGTATTTTTCCCTGCTGTTTTAGCTGCCCACATGACCTGAGCTATTTCTGTTTTATAGTCTCTTACCCAGTTAATAGCAGTTCTGCCCATACCTATTACCTGCTATTCAGCTTCAGTTTGGGCAGTCTCCATGGCAAGGTTATGATGTCTTAATACTTGGACTAGAGTTATGAGGAAGGGATATCTTTTGGAGTTCATTGGCAGTAGATTAAAAAAATTGTTTTCTATTATACTATGGCCAGATCCTGGATGAACTTTGAACTAGAAAACTTCTTTCAATAGTTTTAGAGAGATGGGAGAAGATTTATAAAAATCAAGAGGAAAAGAAATGAAAATAGGATGATAGTTATCAGAATCACATTTTGAAAGGTAAAGTCCTTTAAAATTTCTATTTGATCTTGAAAACGAGCCTATGAAGCAAGTAACAGAGCAATATTAAAACATAATTCTCCTAATTCCCAAACTCCTGTTCTTTTCACCAGAAGTTCAGATGATATGTGATATTTCATTTTGCTTATATGTGAAAATGAGTCAATAAATTTTTTGTTCTGTGGGAATGTTGCAACTCATCTTTACATAGGGAATTAGAAAATATTTTCTAACAATGGAGGAGAGGTCACTCTTTTTCTTAGGCAACTAGCTGTTTTGAATTACCTTCAATATTTGTCAAATATATAATTGATAAGAAGTATATGTCTAAAACTATGCTAGTGAAGTACATGGTAAAGAATCAGTGGAAGCCAATAAGTAGGTTTCTGACAGCCTTAAAATAATCCCATGTATTATAGAAACTTGTTTAATTGGAATCTTCAATAATATCCTCCCCATAAATCTCAAATTGCTAAACATGGAAAACTTGCTTTTGGTGGCTTCCCTTCTGGTTGCTTCAGTATTAACGATTTCAAAAGATTTTATACGGTGCAAACTATTTCATAGAGTAGAGTGGGTATTCATGTGGGGAGAGGTGAGGGAAGACTTCGAGGCTTTAAAACTTACTCTCCAGTATTTGATGAAATAGCTGAAGACTGTTGTAGCAATGTATAGGCAATAGAGAACAGAATATGCTAAGAATTGAAGGAAGTATTTGTAGTTGGAAAATCCAATGCAGTTATTAACCCTGAAAAAAGGAAGAAAGAAAAACTAATGTGAAATTAGGACCCATTTATTGAGAATACATTTATGCATAAGGGAACTGGACAATGGACACATGTTACACCTGCTGTCCTATTATATCTGGTAGAAGCCCAACAGAGATTAAAGGTTTTTCATAGGAACTGACCAGGAAAAAAAATTCAACGTCTCATTTGTTTATCCTTTCATATATAGATACAGATATAGCTGGCTTATCTAAAGTTTTGAACTGATTTCTGACATACCTCCAAAAATATGTATCCTGAAAACATATTACAGTCTTTGCAGCTGTACTTAGTTAGCACAGTGTAGCACTTTCTCTTGTGGTTAGATAGATACTTTGATACCGATTCTCTATGTCTGCTATACAACATTTGCATAAGAAGTACTTAATTTGGCAAGCCTACTACAGAATGGATTCACACACCAAGTGTGTGAGTCAATTCTGACTCATGGAAAGTCAGCACCGGGTTTCTAAGACTGTAAATATTTGTGAAAGCATATACCTTCATCTTTCTTTTGCTGGTCTTGTAGTTAGCAGTTGAACACTTACAGTGCTACAAGGTCTCCTTAAGAGGATGAGATGTGTTCAAAAGTATTTCTTGACTATGCCCAGTTGCTAAAGCTAATGAACAGGAGACCTCAGAAATATACTATCATAACTCCAGAATTACTCCCCAAAGCTATGTATTTAATTTATTTCCCCACAGAACAATCTTATCACCTTCAATGCACTCTCTAGTACACTTAATACATTTGCCAAATCTGCGATTCCATTCTTGGAAACACTTTTTCAACCTCATCTGTTTAGATGGCTGACAGCACTTCCCTTTTTGCTTCCCGTCTTCTACGTTGTAAAATTGCTGTCCTTTCATGTTCCTCTTCATTCGTGTAAACAAAAGGATGTTGCACAGTGTGAGAGCACATGAGTCAGGTGCATGGGGCAAGAGACGCATGCTGTCCCCCCCCCCCCAAAAAAAAGGTGCATTGAAATGGCTGTGTGAGCAGGTGCATTGTCATGGTGGCGAAACCAGTCCCCCATCTGCCACAAACTAGGCCTTTTTAGTCACACACTGTTACGCCATCTTTTCAGAACATATAAATAGAAAGCTTGATTAACAGTCTTACCTGGTTTCGGAATGAACTCCAAATGCACTATCCCCCTCACATAAAAAAAAGCAAATGAGCATCGTTTTTTGGGGTACCCCCTCATATTTATTCTTGCTGTGACATATTACTCCTTATGATGACAACATATTCACAAACATGCTTTATGCAATTGATGTATGGATTGTTATAAGAGCTGTAAGAGTCCCCAGTAAAATGATTTACATGTAAGAAAAGAAATATTACCCTTTCTCTGCCCCCCACAAATACAATTATGGTGGCAGTAAAAGATATTTGCTACTATACTTTTAAAAGCAGGCAAATTGCGTAACTTTGAGCTTTTTAAAACAAGGAAATGAAGAAAGGGACATACCATGGGCAGTGATGGTCCATTTTTAATACGCACCTAAAAAATTGACAAAATAAAGTGTGATAAATAAGGCTGTGGAAATGAAGCAACACCTTAAAATTGTATTCAAGTTCTCAACTATATTTCTACAAATTTGCAGTTCACCCACCCCCAGGTTTCCATTATATCTACTCTAAAATTATATGTCCTTTGTTATCCCTGGGAGGAGGGATAACAAAACTTCATAGGGTCATACAGGCAGCAATTTACATACTTAGAAGTCCAGCATTTTAAATGAAATTAAGAACTCCAGGATATTGAGACTCGTCTCTCCCTCTTTTTTCTCTCTCTCAATACTCAGTTTATTAAAAATACAGAGGAAAACAAATGGTTGTGACCTCTGCTTGAATCTGGGTTCAAGAAAACGTGAGCAAAAGAAGTCTCAAATGAAAAAGGCATGGATATTAGTAATTTTATAAAGCTATAATAATTTACACAATAAAATAAATACAGTAATATTAGGTTATAGCACAAAATATAAAATGAATATCCATGAGTGCATGCTTAACACAAATAAATGACTGGATCAATACATGAGGATAGAGTATAATTCAGTCTCAGCCAGGTGATCAAGATCAATTTTGAAAGTGATAAATCATGTTACTAGTAAGTATATTTAGTGTGATGAGCATGGCACTTTACCTTTGTGGTCTTCCTCCCTAAAGCAATTACTCCATTCTAATCATGAGGAAAACATCAACAAGCCCAAATTGAAGCACATTTTATAAAATGCCTGCCTAGTACTCCTAATAAGTGTAAAGGTCATAAAAAACAAATGAAATCTGAACTGTCACAGACAAGACGGAAGAAGCCTTAGAAGACATGCCTACCAGATGTAACATAATACCCTAGATGAGATGCCAGGACAGAAAAAGGACAATAGAGAAAACCAGAAAAGCAAACACAGGTTTTAGTTTAAAAACAATGCATCAATATTGGTTCCATAATAGTAACAAATGCACCATACTAACGTTAAATGTTAATGATAGGGAAACTGAACCGACTACAAGGGACTATATGTGACCTCCTCCCTGGGGGACAGACAGTGGAGAGGGGGGTGAGGGGAGACGTCGGACAGGGCAAGATATGACAAAATACCAATTTATAAACTATCAAGGGCCCATGAGGAAGGGGGGAGTGGGGAGGGAGGGGAAAAACGAGGACCTAATGTTGGGGGTTTAAGTGGAGGGAAAATGTTTTGAGAATGAAGTACAAATGCGCTTTACACAATTGATGTGTGTATGGATTGGGATGGGAGTTGTATGAGCCCCTAATAAAATGTTTTAAAAAAATAATAATAAAACAATAAATAAATAAATAATAGGGAAACTGTGGGGTATATAGAAGTTCTCTATTCTATCTTCACAATAATTCTGTAAATCTAAAAATATTCTAAAATAGTTTTTGTTTTGTTTTTTCTTTCAGGTGGAGTTCAGTTTCTCTTTCCTATTTCTACATCAGCTTGAATAACCATTATCCCCATTAAAATTTTTTACATGTGTTTGCCATGACCAAAAACAATTGCTCTTAATCTAGGTATGGTTACATGCTAAGATCAGTTTAGGAGAAATATGGTTGTTCACTTACATGGCACAGACAGAGCAGTGGTGGCAACGGTCTGGCTTGATTAGATGGCATCGTTCACAGAATCTTACAGCTAGGAGAAAAACGAGGTGGTCAGCACTGCTTAGGGTTCAATATGAGACCATGTATCTTACTAGCCTAGCTGGATGGCTTGTCACATACTGATTAAGGGTAGTCAACTCTTTCTATTTCAAATTATTAGGGGGGAAAAGATCACATATGTAAATTGTGGGGCCCCCCCCCACCCGTTGGATTAATCTTAAAAACACCTTCTTGGTGCATACAAAGAGGGAAAAGCATCCATATACGGATATGATATTGCAACTTTGTGCTATAAAACAAATTGTATTATCAGCTACTTGAGTGATCTTGGGAAAATAATTTCGTTTCTGCTCACCCCTACTTTCCTCTCTGAAACAATCAATCATTAAATGTCTTTCCTTACAGTTTGGATTGTATCAGGTGGATAAAACCCCAACAAGGTAAAGAAAGTGGTTTTCAGAATTACAATTTGGAGATCGAGCATATTCAATTGACCATTTCACAGCTAAAGACATCAGCCATGTCAAGTGATTTGCCAATGCTCACACAGCAAGTAAGTGACAGGAATCAGACCAATACAGAGCTTTTCTGATTCCTTAGTTTAGGACTCTCTTCACTATGTGAAGTCTAATTTAAAAAATAATTTTTCAACAATCATACGCCCACTAGTTAGATAACGTATATGAAAGGAGCAAATTCTTAGAATATATAAAACACATGATATAAAATTGACTCCAGAAAAATAGGTAAACCTGTAAAGACCTCCCCCACAAAAAAGTGAAGAAATTAAATCAAATAATCAAACATGCTTTGCACACACACACACACACAAACACACATGTCTTGAACATGTTGGCTTCGCTGGCAAATTTTAAATACTAAAGGAATTGACAAAAAATGCTTTTTAAACTTTTCATGAAACACAGAAAGAGGGAATACCTCCTAACTCATTCAAGAAACCAGCATTACCATGATACCAATGCCAGAATCCCTTGTGAAGAAAACCAAACTTACTTCCACTGAGTTGATTCTGACCCAAAGCAACCCTATAAGGACATGGTAGGACTACTCCTGAGGATTTCCAAGACCATAGAAAGCCTCATCTTTCTCCTGCATCCCTTATAAATCTAGATGCAAAAATCCTCAAAAAATGCTAGCCAATCAAACCCAAAACTATATTAAGAGGATACACCCTAACAAAGTAGAAATTAGCATGGAAATATAAAGGTGCTTCAACCAATGTAATGCACCATTAACAGAACAAAGGAAAATATTTTCATAATCATGTCGATCGATCGACATAAAAAGGCACTTGGCCAAATCCATCCAACCCCCTTTGTGATGAAAATACTTAACCAACTAGTACGAGAAGAAAAATTTCTCAACCTGAAAAAGGGTATTTATGAAAAATCCAGCAAACATCATCATACTCAATGGAAAGAGAGCTTTCAAAAATGCCTGCTGGTACCACTGTCATTCAGTAGTGATCACACTGGAAATTCTAGACAGAGAAGGAAAAAGGAAAAGTAACCCTCTTCACAAATAAAATGTTTGTGAATAAATTTAACCAGGCAGAGTAGCAGCAGTGCCAGCAGGGTGTAATGGCAGCAGAATGGCCATTACCTACGGGTGGCAGAGGATGCTTGAGGCTTCCCGAAATACCGCCCTTCAACGTGATGGCAGAGCAGCTTCAGGATGACATAGAAGGCATCCAAGGTGCATGGTCGCTGCACCAGGCAGGCCACAGTCCTCTGGAGCTGGTGGCCATGTGGATGAAAGGTGTGGTGGTGGTGGCGGTAGCTGGCAGCAGCTAGGCGTACCTACGGGACCCAAGCAGGGCCTTCATGGTGCGAGGTCTGGTGTGGGTGACTTGTGGGCAGCCCTGCCTTGCCCCAAATAATCTGAGAAGCTGGACAGTATAAATATGAACACAGCACCAGGATTGGAAGGAGGTTATTAACGGCATGTGTACATGACAAAAACTTGCTTGTTGAAAGCCAGGAGGACTTACAGTGCTTGGAAATGAAGATCTAAGGCTATAACCTTCAGTATGGATTGTAATTGAATGTAAAGAAAACCATAACCCTCAAAACTGGACCAGGAAACAGCATGATAAAGATTAAGGTCGATTTTCATCTTGCTTAGATCTACAATCAATGCTCATGGGCGCAGCAGTCAAGAAATTGAAGGCTGTATTGCATTGGGTAGATCTGCTGCCTAAGACCTCCGGTAAGTGTTGAGGAACAAGACTGTCATTTTGAGGACTAAGGCGCACCTGGCCCAGGCCAGGGTATTTTGAGTTACCTCGTATGCATGTGAAAGGTGGACATTGAATAAGAAAGATCAGAGATGAATTGATGCATTTGAATTGTGGTGCTGGTGAAGAATATTAAAAGTATCATTGACTGCCAGAACAACAAACAAATCTGTCCTGAAAGAAGTAAAGTTAGAGTGCTCCTTAGAAACAAGGATGTTGAGACTTTGGTTCACATACTTTAGGCATGTTCTCAAGAGAGTAGAGAAGGACATCATGCGTGGTAAAGTGGAAGGGGCATTACAAAAGAGTAAGCCCCTCAATGAGATAGATTGACACAGTGGCTGCAACCATGGGGTCAAACATAAGAATTATTGTAAGGATTGGGAAGGACTGGGTAGTGTTATGTTCTGTTGTGCATGGAGTAACTGATGTGGAACTGCCTTGACAGTACCTCACAACAACCACCATTTCTGTCTTTCTGTCTTCTGCACAACAATTGGGTGGGACTATACAAAAAAGGTGCTTGTGACTAACCAAAGGTATTGGACACCTTCTACTAATGCTAATAAGGTGGATAGATTCTATAGTGGTTAAGTTTATATGTCAACTTGGCTGAGCCGTGATTTTCTGTGATTTGGCAGTCATGTAATAAAGTGATTGTCTTCCAAAATAAATAAATATATAGATAGACAGGCAGATGGATGGACAAATAAATATGTTTTACCAGGTAGGTCAAAGATTTGTACATTAAAAACCTTAAAATATAACTGAAAGGTATTTTAAAAGGTCTAAATAAATGAAGATATGTTGTGTTCATGGATTGGAAGTAGGGCTTTGAAGCAATTTGAAACAGTTCAGGCATGGCTACGATGCATTACATAGCAACCAAAGCTTTTGCAGGTTGGAAACAGGCAGTCAGAAACATTCAAAGAAGCAAGGGGTATCTCTGCATGGGGTATCACTGTTTTTATTTCTGTCGGCCATGATGGAAATATTTTTAATCCCTGACGGGAAGACTTAATATTGTTAGGATGTCAATATTACCCAAAGTCTGTCTTGAACATTTTGTTCTTTTAAAGAATTACCTATGCAGGATAAAATTGGTAACAGCAATTCAAAAGGTTAGATGAGAGACTTAAAGGGGAGTTAGGTCTATTAATGATGCTGGAATAATCTGGAAAACAATAGCAGGAAAGATTGAAGAGCATGAAGATTGTTAATAATGCCATAGAATTATACATGTGGAAATTGCTAAAATGCTGTATCTTTTGCTCTGTATATTTTCAACACACACACACACAGAGTTCATCACACTTCTTTGTAGGAAAGGAAAAGCCAACCCTGAAATTTAGGTGGAATTGAAAGGAGTCCAAAATAGCCAAAGCAATCTTGGAAACGAATACCAATATACAACCATTGGGGAAAGTAATATGGCAATGCCTAAAACAACTGGCAATAGCAATACCATAAGGACTCAGCAATACACTTGCTGGGCAAATACCTCAAAGAAATAAGAGACAGAACATGAATAGATGTATGATCTCCCATGTTCATTGCAACATACTTGACAATAGCAAGAAGCTGGAAACAGTGTAAATTCCCATCAATAGAAGAATAGATAAAAAAAATACTCTGGTACATACACACAAGGGACTAGTATGCATCCCTAAAAAAGTGATGATGTTACAATACCCAAGCACAAAATGAAATATCTAGGGATATACAAGATAAATAACAAAAGATTTATATGAGTTGAACTACAGGACACTATTTACAAGAAACCAACAGATGGAAGAATATCCCATGCTCGTGGATTGGAAAACTCAATATAATAAAGATGTCAGTCCTGCCCAAGTCACTATATAAGTTTAAAGCAATCCCAATACAATTATCATAATCTTTCTTCAAAGAATTGGAAAAACTGATTACCAACTTCATATGGAGGGAAGAAGCCCAGAATTAGCAGAGAACTCCTCAAAAAGAAGGCTAGAGTGGGAGGGCTTCTTTTACCTGACTTTAGCACATATTATACAGCCACAGTGGTCAAAACTGCATGGTATTGTGTCAGGGGAGGCCAGCCCCTAACAACTATCATGGGTTCATAGGCTTAACTGTATGGTTATAATACATAAAGATTATAGTAAAGTCATAGAAGATAGGAGAGATAGGAGACAGAGTAAAGTAAGGAGTCAGACACATTTCATAGTAGCATGCTCACCTCAGCCCCTCTTCATGGTCCACATGGAAGTGCAGGAGGAAGAGGGCAGAAGAGAGAAAGCGGTTTATTTCCAACCAAGGCTTATATATCTTTGGAGGTGTGCAAGCCCCCTGACTACAGGCAACGACCTACATCACAGGAAGGGGTAGTGCCATAGGCAATACAGTGATGGGAGGGGGATGATCCAGGGGTATATACCCTATAGGAAGAGGTATATACCCTATAGGAAGAGGAGGGATTAAGGGTACACATATGACAAGATGGGCGGATCCTAGATTCATGATGGCAGCCTAACCTTGGTTGTGCTTCAGCTGGAGACTTGATTTATTCTAAGCTTTCCAGGGAAAGCAATCCACTGTCCTTAAATAGGGAGTGAGCTCCACCTACTGTCTGGTCAACCACAGTAGTCTGATAGCCCTGGATGGATGATGCCTTCAAGGAAAAAACTTACAATTTACCATTAGTTGTAAGCAGTGTCCTAGGTTTGACATACATTTGGGGAAGACATGCTGGGGAATAGCCTTTTTATATCCCACAATTCCCCCTTTTGTTTTAC